TTTAACCAACCCGATGTAATCAGACTAAATACGCACAGAGCTATCGAACTTTTGACCACGAATTTAACAGGTGTACAGGCAGTCATTGAAGCAAAATACATTGACTTATTAGTGAGATGTGTTGAGAAAGAAGTAGATGAAATTAAGGTTAGTATATTTTAATAATGTTTATTCCTCTAAATCTAGATTATTGTATTGAACACTTTATATCACTGCTTCAGTTTCGAAACTGAAGAAGGACTAAACGCCGGCGGGATACCACTGTTTACTAAACTTCTCACTCATTCAAACACAGAAATCAGAACACGCGCAGCTCAAAATATTTTGCGTTTATGGTAAGTACTTTAATGTTTTCTGAAGTATACTTTTTGATATCTTCAATCGATTTAGATCACTGCAATTAAATTGTGTGTCAAGCACAGCACATATTTTTTTCATTAAAAGTTATTTGACAAAAAGTAGTTATCGGTTTTCATCACATGGACTAACTTTACGTATAACAACCGATTATCTCATAGTTACGTATTTCTGTAATTATCACGCGTTTTTTGATACCACCATAGATCAGATATTTTGTGTTATGACGCTCACTTGTTTGTGAATATTAGATTCAGTTGTATTTAGTATACAAAATATATAAATATCGCTCTGTTTTCCTAGCTGGAGGCCATAAGCTTGGCCTAATTCATTACTGTATAAAATTGCGGAATTAATTTATGTGCTTTTTTAACAAGTAGGGAATAGATTAATCCTATGGCTTTGTGGCATACAGCTGAATGTTTTGTTTTGCGGAAGGATTTCATCGAACACTAACAAAATGGAAGTAAAATAATTGGTACATTAAACCTATTAAACTGTCGCTTTAACTAAAACAAGATAGCTGGCATAAAAAACTTCACTTTTGAAATATTTTAATCAATCAATGAGAATTAACATCCTCAATGAAATAATAAACACCAATTATATGCACGTATTCATATTGAACTCACATCATTTAGAGATGATCTTGACATTTTTAAACAAAAAATAAGTGTAGTATTCAGAAACGCATGTTCAGTGCAGTAAGTCATTTTGTGAAATATCCAGCACACTAGAAGAGAACGTATGCTTTAGTTTTATCTCTGACTTCCATTAAACTTGATCACAAACGGATCTATTGAATCCATATGGATATTTCTTTGGATAGTTTATGTAAAACCATCTGAGGCCAGAGGACCAAATAGGTATAGGGTTAACAACACACTAGGTAAATATCAAAACTCCGCATGTAGCTTTTCTAGAGTTACTGCCGGTCCAAAGCCCGAGTAAAAGAGGAGAGTTGAGCTTACTCTCCTCCTTTCTTTTTCTTCTGGTGGTTTACTGGATTATCAAGACCCCTACAAATCAGGAAAACCACGGAATACAGTAGACGGCTTGGATGCAACTAGATGAATGGACTTTGTAGATGACTCGTCCTTCTGCTTCATACACAGCAACAAATTCAGGTCAAGACAACTAGTGTAACAGTAACCTCTGCATCAGTAGACCTAAACATGCATAAGAGAGAAAGCAAGAATCTCAAATACAACACCAAGAACACCAACGCAATCACACTTGATGGAGAAACTTTGGGAGAAATGGAAACATTCACGCGCCTGGGTAGCATCATCGGTGAACAATGAGGACCGGATACCAAAGTAAGGGTGAGGATTGGAAAGATAATGGCAGCATAACTATGGTCGAAGAACATATGGAACTCAAAACAACTGTCAACCAATATCAAAGTGAGAATCTTCAATACGAACGTCAAAATAGTTCTACTGTACGGAACTGAAACGCGGAAAGCTACCACAACCATCATCAAAAGAGTATAAATGTTTATAAACAATTGTCTACGTAAGAAACTGAATGTCCGCTGACCGGATATCATCAACAACAACCTACTGTGGGAGAGAACAAACCAGCTTTCAGATGAGGAGGAAATTAGGAAAAGACACTGGAGGTGAACAAGACAGAAATTTCGAAAATCACCAAACTGCTTCATGAAGCGAGTGCTAACTTGGAATTCTGAAGGTAAACCGAAAAAGGAAGGGCCAAAAGACACTACATCGAGAATCGGAAGCAGAAATGAAAAGGATGAATAGTAACCAGAAACGACTGGAAAGGATTTATAGGACAGATTTAGATGTCTCTTATTAGGATTTTTTGTAACTTGTACAGTGAAAGTTTGTAAACTTTTCAGAAACGCACCTGAATAGGTTATGCAATTAATAGGCATAACGATGTGTTAAATTGGACAAAAAGCAGATAGCTTGTTGAAATATCTAAAGGAAAGCAAACAGATAGCCCAAATATTCAAACAGGTCATCAATAATATACCAAAAGTGATAATAGTACAAATCGATTGGTAAGTATGCACAAATAACGAGGTATATCATAAAACAACTATATTCCGTCAAATGTATGTTGAATTTGACACAAGAATATCAAAGTATTAGTAAGGAGTTTGTGGAGGTTGTTAAATATTATTGAGATCATATACCAACCTAAGTTAAACAAGCATTGAAATCTTAATAGCACTGAATAGCTATTCCATTCTATTATTGGACTTCCGTAGTGGATATTTACAACCCCATTGTCAGGAATCGAACCCAGAATCTTTAGACTCATCGTCATGGTTTCTTACTGAAACTCTAGGGGTTTCGTTTCGAAACTATCCATCAGTTAGCACATAATAATTACCAGTATAGAGGTTGTGTAGGCCCACAGTGATGGGGATTTGGATACGCAATACTGCGAGGATTATACGTAGGCGAAACATCTGCCTAGTGCTTTCAGCTTTTCAACGATTGTTTAGTTTAGATTGTTTCGTGATTTCAATAATTGTAAGAGACTGTACGTTAAACAATTACGTTTCAGAAGAGGTTTAGTGGAGATTTTAGAAATTTCACTAGTTGAAATCATGAGTCAATTGAAGCTAAACCACTATGGAAAAGCTGGAAGCACTGGACGACCGTCCCGTTCTAGTATGGGTTCGAATCTCGCGGGGGCAGGATCGTGGATGCGCACTGCTGCCGAGGCGTCCCACAATAGGACGAAACGGCCGTCCAGTGCTTCCAGGTTTTCAATGGTGGTATAACACCAATCGGTTCATGATCTCAATCAAAAACTTAACAATCTCCACAACCCCTGAACTGAGAAAGACTTTTGTTTGAAATGTAATTTGAATTCATTCTAATAGTAATACTTAAGAAAATGTTGTTAATGCATAACATATATATATATATATATATATATATATATATATATATATATATACTGATGGAGTTTTGTTCTGTGAGCTGGATGGTTTGGTCGTGAAGCTTTCACCGTTCTTCCGAACGAAACTCCATTAAAATCATCCACGCGAGTTACAAATCTTCACTATCTCAATGTAAATATATATTTTTCTTAAATATTTAAACCATAGTGTAAATCTAAGAGGTAAACAAGAAGCTTTGGATAATGAAACAATTCCTGCATTAGTTTCTCTGTTAAATGATCCAAGTGAAGATTCGAAAGCATTTTCTGCTGGAGCATTAGGTTTGTAAGTCATAATTATTATCATTTGTAAATGAATCTTGAGGCAAGACTATAATTTATGGATAACAGATCTTGAATTATGGTGCGAAATTAATTCCTTCAATTGGATAAATAGAGTTTTGGCATTATAGCTGATATCAGTTCGTTATGAAAACCCTATATCTGATTCCTAACCTTAATCACCAACTGTAAATCATAATTCTAATTCCCCACACAGGTTTATAACACTCATTTGGTCGTGGTTATTAAGTGAACACTCTCAAGGTCAGTCAAGCGTCGCTCAAAGGTCGTTCATAAATTATAGTCTCACCAATATTAATTGTAATTCAAGTTAACCAACTCATTTTAATTACAATCATGACTAGTTAGTGAAATTTCAATTATGTAAGTGACGATGCCACAGGTATTTGGAGTTTGACAACGCATTAACCAGTAGCATCTTCTACTATGAATTGTACCCACCAAGTGAAATCAAAAGACAAGCGAGGAAGTTCGAAGATATATTTGATAGGCTGTCAATATATCGAGGATCGACTGGTTTAGGGTGTCTAGTGATTGAAAGGGATGTTGAGCACGGCGTTCCCACTCGTGATCTAGTGCAAATGCATGACCAAGCGCCTTCAGCTAGGTGAGTCCATTAAAACTAATGTGGTCAACATCAAATGTCGAAAACTTACAGAGCTATTTATTTTGGGAATTTATTTACCGCTACAGATCACTCCCCTCCCCCTAGTGAGGTAGTGATAACCCTAAGACGTGGCCAGCCAGAAGTTTAAACCCAACGAATTGTGTCGTTGGTAAACACTCTCTTGATAGCTTGCTAGGTTTAGCAGTGTCTGGTCGTCTTTCCTTACTATTAGGGGCCATGTAGTACAATATAATAATAAAAAAGGTACAATTAAATTTTCGGTTGATCGTAAACTTCATCGTTCTTTTAATCGTCTTTTCCAGCCGTTCTGGAAAAAAAAATAAATATGTAAGTGCATGTTGAAATACACTCGTACCTGCGTAAAAACACAAAGCTGGCGAATAAAGGATTTTTACAAAATGGTTTTTTTGGAATAAAAATATAAACTATATAAGCATATTAAAATTGGTTTTTTTATATTACACATAGTACAAAGGGAAATCGAGATGATATAAAATGTCAAGTAGTATCTTGCGTGCAATAATCGTTCAAATGTTCTGGAAATCTTACTGTTCTTCCAGAATGTGTTGTTTTAGGTTTATTTTCTGATACTGCCGAAGTATCATCGTGCGCGTTTGCTGTCAAATGAGATATTATAAGTGTCGGAGTCGTGTCGTTCGATTGTACCGTAGGAAAATCGACGTGAATAGGATTTCCTTTTAAATACGCTGCCTTGAAGTGATCGATGGTGATGCTATCGTTGGTTCCGTTCCTATCGATTATATAGTGCTTGGATTCGCGTTGAACAACTTTGACGGGTCCTTCGTATGCTGATTCGAAAGGTCGTCGATGTGAGTCTCAACGAACGAAGACGTGTGTACTGTATCGTAAGTTGGGTTAAACGGAAATATTAGTTGATTGAGGTCGAGTGAAAGCAGGTTTAACTGAGCGCATTGCGTTTGTAAGCCTGTTCGTGTAGGAGGTTAGATTCATGTTCATTGAAGAGGATGAAGGATCCACGAATTCTCCTGGAAGTCGAAGTGTCGTTCCATAAACGAGTTGAGCCGCAGTGTATCCAATGTCAGCTTTCACTGCATTGCAAATACCTAGTAAGACGAGTAGAAGTGCGTCGGTCCACTGAGAAATGTTTGCAGCTGATAGTGAAGCTTTTAGTTGTCGGTGAAAGCGTTCTACCAACCCGTTTGTTTGTGGGTGATAGGCGGTCGTTCGAAAGCGAGTGATTCCTAATAGTGTGGTCAGACGACGGAAAAGTCCAGATTCTAACTGGCGTCCGCGATCTGTAGTGATGGTTGAAAGGTAGCCGAAGTTTGCTACCCATCGTTCATCGAAGGCTCGGGCCATTGTTTCAGCAGGGATGTCCTTGGTGGGTACTGCTTCTGACCATCGAGTGAAACAGTCTACGCATGTAATTGAATATTTAAACAAATAGGTGTATCACTAACTTTCACTTTCTAAACAGTTTTACCGCCTTGTTTGCATGATTAAATGGCAAAAAAGTGCAAAATAGTGTATACCAAGATTTATTGAAGCCTTGGCCATACGAAAGTTTAACCACCCTCTACTCTTATTTGATCAATTGATTCTATTTGTTTCTGCAACCATTTAGGTACATGTTCACCCCCCTAATTTTGAGATCATGATTCCTCCTCCCTATGTATATGTGACCTGATACTACTAGCTTATTATCCAGAGTGATAAGGTTTCAAATTGTTTTCACATTATTTTCTTTATTATTCTTGTGTCCTACTTACCCTCCATTTATCGTCTAGTTGACTTTTTGTTTTTTTATTTATAAATGTTCTTAACATGTATATTATGTGTGATCAGATTGTTCGAAATGTATTGCGCTAATATACCGTCAAATAGTTCTGATAATCTTCGTCTTTTTATCACACTATCGAAATTTATCAAAGGGACTAATTGCTTTAAATGTAATGATTATAACTGTAATGATTGAGAACTCAAGTGGGAAGACTAATTTATTAAATTCATTTTGTATTGTTTGTTTGAATTTTCCCACTGATGTTTAGGACTGCAATTGATCAGTCTCTTATTGGCATACATGCATACTGTGCGCATTACCTCGATATTGCCTTAATTCACAAGCATTAAAAGTAAATATGGATAGTGGCTAGCGATTGAATCCAGGACGCGTGTTTCGTGGATAAGGCGATGGCGTTTGAAGTGAACAGTACTGGGTTCGAGTCCTGGAGTGAACATCAACTCTGAGATGCAGGTACATCCACCTGACGAGTCCCAAATAGGACGAAACGTATGTCTTGGATTCCATTGCTAGCGACTATCCATCTTCGCATATAAGACTAATTTATTGTTCAGCGCAAAATTACAGAATGTCTTCATAAAATATGAAAACCATACATGAAATACTTCATTTGTTTGTGTATAGTCCATCAAATCTTCTCTTATAAACTTTATAGTTCCTTCATTCACCTGTTATTATTACAATTCCTCTTTGTTTACACTCTTTTTCTTTTCAATTTAATCTTCTTAATCTTCTATTGCTAGTCATTTCATTTCTGATTAATATCATATACTACTTATATCTGACAACATAAGTAGCTGACACCACCATCAATTATTATGTCATATTGTAGAAAATGAACATAGAATAGATAAAATCCTAAAGTTTTTGATAATAACATCAACAATAAAAGTACAATTGATAGATTATGTTTTCTTTCTTTCTTTCTTTTATTTAAAATCGTATTTCTCAAGTATATGTACAACAAATCATGGTCGTTATACTACTTTAAATGCTGGTGCTATTCCTTTACTTCTTAATCTGATTGATGATAAATGTAGTCGAGTAAGAGTTAATACTTTCAAGGTAAGAATTATTATTCATTTATTTCAGATGAAATTTAATGATTATTAATTGCTATTGATGATCGATTTTCGAGAGTCAGGCTTTCATCTAAGATAATCAATCAATCAATAAAGTTTATATTTGAAGGGGTTTTATTGATCTTATAGTAATTTTAATAGTTAAGATCATGAATCATTTGAAGCTAGACCACCATGGAAAACCTGGAACCATTAGACGGCCGCCTCGTCCTTGTATGGGACTCCTCGGCAACGCGCACATCGGACTCGAACCCGGGATCTTCGGTTTCGCTCTCGAACGCTTAACCTCTAGACCACTGAGTCGGCTGGCATCCAACGGTTTTGATGTCCAGCTTCAATGAATCCACGATGTTGCGTGACTGTTTCCCATTGTCTTCAGTGAGTAACTATCTCACAACAGATACGGTTGAACTCCACTGATCACAGCTTCTCAACAGAATTCCAGGAAATCTATCTTGAAGTTAATCATTAGTGAGCACATGATAATTATCAGTATAGGGTTGTGAAGATTGTTGGGTTTAGATTAACATCCTATACTGATAACTATTTGAAACTATCAAGGAAAACCTTGACATTGATACCTATAAACTTAATAACAATCTATACTAACGTGTTTGAGATAGTGATTCTTAAGCTAATTACAGTATTCATTTAATTTCTTATTCATAAAAAGAGGGAACAACCAAATAATGACACTATCCCTAAATCAAACAATAACTAATCAGAAAAAAAGTCGATCATACAAAGCATTAAGAGATAGAGCTTAAATTTAACTTTACTCCTTCACAATAATATGTAATAGTTAAACGGAATGACCATTTCAGTAATCTTGAAATTTTCATTATCCCTAATGGGTTATTATCTGATGATCTCAGTTCAGAAAGTATACTTTACTTTTGTCGAATCGAGTCTTGTGTGATGTATAGAATATTTCTTTCTTTTTATTTTTAAGGTCGAGAAATAAAGAATATTTGTAGATTCATTTTTGTATTCGTTGTTTGAATCTTCCAATTGATCAGTCACTTATTGGTATATATGCATCCTGTACAAATTGCTTTGATATTACCAAGTAATATAAGTCGAGATAGATAGTGGCTAGCAGTGGAATCCATGACACACGTTTCGTCCTGTCTGATACTCGTCGGTTTGATGTACCTTAGTCCCAGAGTTGATGTTCACTCTAGGACTCGAATCCAGTATTGTTCACTTCAAACGCTGTTGCACTATCCATTTAGCTACTTAGTCCAAGTAGCCACTAGCTTTTGTAATGTGGTATTTGATCACATATGGCCTTGGATCATTATTCTCAAGTGAATGAACAACGTTGTGGTTCAACCTAGGCTACTAGATAAAGATGTTTGAGTGGTTGATGAGGTCACTAATCTTATGGGTTGAAACTAAAGTATTATTCACTGTTCATTATTTCATTTCAGCATTTTGTTTTCAGTGATTCAAAATGAATACCAGTTCCTTTAAATAACACTCCTTATCATAGATCTTGTTGAATATCGTTCGTATCTTTTTTGACATTTATTCTATTTCCAATCCAATATAAATCTAGTTTTACATTATTAATTATAGCTGACTAATTTAACAGTAAAATTACACATAAAAGTTGTTTTCCATCCTATAAGTGTTTCATATGCTTCTTTGAACAATATCAGAGCAACTTCTTGAGTGTATGGATCATTTTCTTTTTTGTGACCAGAATACAGTAAAATTAAACTGTTTATTTCACAGTTTTTTGTTTACTCCAACTCTTTATTTAAACTATAGTTATGATAGAAATGAATATTATATAATTGATTCTTGATTGAAGTGAATTTCCCTACGAATTCCACTCAAACATTCTAGGTTTGACAATCTTATTCATTTATTTTAGGTTCTAACTTGTTTATCTGAGACACCTGAAGGTCGAAGGATTCTATTGGATCATTTAAATAAAGTATGTTTCATATTTTGTTTTTTGAACATAAAATTGTCGTTCTATCATTATGTGAATGTATATTTTCGTTAGAATTAATGATTGTAATATTTCAGGAGTTTTGTGGATATTATAGTAATTTTAATAGTTAAGCTCATGAGTCAATTGAAGATAGACCATCATAGAGAACCTAGAAGCACTGGATGGCTGTTTCGCCCTAGTATGGGACTCCTCAGCAGTACACATCCACAGGCCCGCTTGTGAGATCCGAACGCTTAGCCTATAGACCACTGGGCCGGCCGTTGTTCAATGGTGCTAATGTCTTAATACAACCAACCCACGAAATCGCGCAACCGTCCACTATTGTCTTCAGTGAGCAACAGCCTCATTTGTTTTCAATTTCAAGTTTTTAATGTTATATTATCAGGTACAAAAGCCGAGTAGCCTATATTTGGGTTTCATTTTAGTTGCGACACATCGGTAAAACGTACGCAAAACATTCAGAAGAATAGTTCTCATCATGTGGTTTGAATTCACGTCGTCCATAGTGATATTCAGAGTTGTTAACATTAGCTTCAATTCAAAACCGTTGAACCAAGCTTTCACATCTATGTCGTATGGTACACATTCTATGAAGTCAGGTTTATAAACTTGCAGAGATTACCAATTGTTCTTAACAGTTACCGCTTCTTCTGAAAATAATTTAAAAAATCATTTGAAAACGTTTTTAACTATTTATACTGCTCACGAGTTACATTCGTTACCGATTAGTTTCGTATTGAGTACCATTAAAAAACACAGAGTAGTGGATAGATGATTTGTCTTGGTTTGAGGCTGCTTGAAACCACTTCCCAAAGACTCTGTGAGGGACCGACTTAATGACTTTCAGGTCTCACAGGGAACTACTGGTCATTAAAACCAGTAAATCATCATCTAATGGTGTAATTTCAACTTTATTAAGTTCGTGTGTTATAGCGTTACTGTGGTGTATACTGCTTATGCTGATAGATATAAGTAGTATGTAGAAACAATCAGAAGCAGAATGTCTATCACCAAAAGACTGAATTAAAGAGACCAGGAAGGGAAACGGAGAGTAATCGGGATAACAACAGAATTAGAAGAATGATGACAGGTGTGTAAATGCTGAATGTAATGTATGATTTTCATATTTTACGGAAACAATAAATTGATTTTCCACAGGGTTGGATGAAGAATGCCGGTGAGCGGCCTATCCTCCTCCACAAGGAGTAACAGGCGTAAGTATGTGAGTAAGTAAGTACGTTTATGTTCATTACATTTGGTGCAATTATGAGGACACCGTTGCGGGGGCCTATATCCGTCAGTATAAGCAGCATACACCACATTACGATCATCAAACTGTTTCATTTCAATCTGGTCTGCATGTTATTTTTAAACTGGATGAAGCTGAAATTATTCAGTCAGAAGCTGATTTAGTGATTCTATTAGTTAAACATTCACTACAAGACCCTATAGTCATTGATTGGCATTTTTGATCATTATAATACAGAATAAATGTTCACAACTCTCTGATTTTCAGTAGTATCCCCAATTGAAATGAATCAGTAACAAATAAAAACTAATTTCCACAAAACTCTTTAAAATAATCATTTCATTCTAATTCTTTTTTTTTTTTTTTGTTTTTAGATATCACCACATGTAACTGATATGAATGCTGCTGTAGCGAAACATGCAAAAATAGCTCTATCTGTTATTACTTGGCAACCTTAATTCC